TTAGCCAGCCTGGTCTCAAACTCCTGGCCTCAAGTGATCTGCCCATCTCAGCCTCCCTAAGTGCTTAGATTACAGGTGTGAGCCACCATGCCCAGCCTTTTTTTTTTTTTTTTTTTTTTTTTGGAGATGAAGTTTTGCTCTATCACCCAGGCTGGAGTGCAGTGGCGTGATCTCAGCTCACTGCAACCTTCACCTCCTGGGTTCAAGTGATTCTCCTGCCTCAGACTATCGAGTAGCTGGCATTACAGGCCTGCACTACCATGCCCAGCTAATTTTTTTGTATTTTTAGTAGAGATGGGGTTTCACCATGTTGGCCAGGCTGGTCTCGAACTCATGACCTCAGGTGATCCAACCACCTCGGCCTCCCAAAGTGTTGGGATTAGAGGCATGAGCCACTGCGCCCAGACTATTCTTTTTTTTTTTTTAAGAGACAGAGTCTCACTATGTTGCCCAGGCTGGTCTTGAGCTCCTGGGCTCAAGCGATCTTCCTGCCTCAGACTCCCAAAGTGCTGAGATTTCAGGTGTGACCCACCACACCCAGCCTGTGGTGATGGTTATGGGAGTATGCATTAATAAAAACTCACAGAACTTTAACTGTAAAAAACTGTAAAGGAGTGAATTTTACTGCGTATAAATTTTGAAATAAGTTAAATTAAGCTTTGGAATAAAGCTATCACTAAACACTAAATATAAAAATATCTATACCCAAATATGTGCCTTCTACACAATTTGTTCTTAAATGTACAAATACACAATAATATATTTATTCGGCCGGGCGCGGTGGCTCAAGTCTGTAATCCCAGCACTTTGGGAGGCCGAGGCGGGCGGATCACGAGGTCAGGAGATCGAGACCATCCTGGCTAACCCAGTGAAACGCCGTCTCTACTAAAAAATACAAAAAACTAGCCGGGCGAGGTGGCAGGCGCCTGTAGTCCCAGCTGCTCGGGAGGCTGAGGTAGGAGAATGGCGTAAACCCAGGAGACGGAGCTTGCAGTGAACTGAGATCCGGCCACTGCACTCCAGCCTAGGCGACAGAGAGAGGCTCCGTCTCAAAAAAAAAAAAAAAAAAATTAAAAAATTAAATAATATATTCATTCACTTGGGAAAACTAAGACACTGGAAGCAGAAAATAATCAATGATCACTTTTGGGTAGTGGGATGAAATCACTTTAAAAAACTCACCATTATGACACAGTTGCTCAGTGCTCAGGTAAAGGTCTAGTATTTAAGCAGAGGAGGCCCAGGAGACTTTTTGTTGCATACACTACCTGACAATTTCTAAAAGCACACTTCTTAAAACTTCATGTCATAAGAAATACATTGCCCCAACAACATCATGTACCTGTGATGGCATTATAGGAAATAACATTATTTGCATTTTATTTTCTACTAAGTTTATATATTACTTTTTTAAGTATGGAGAAAAAGAGGGGATGATAAGTTTAAAAACACTACCTACCACAAAAAGCACAAAACCCTTTGAGCAGTTTAACACTCTGACATTCTATCCTGTTTCTTTTACTTGACACAAGTAACCAATTCCAGTCTCCAAAATACAAGAAATCTAATCTGGACTGGCCCTCCAACAACCACCACCTAGGGGGCAGTCTCCAGGGTTAAAATCCACATTTCCCAGATTCCCTTGCATCTAAGATTCTGGGTATAATTTAGGTTGCACCATAGATGCACTGGCAAGACAGATTTGGTACTAAAGGCACCCTGCTGGTGGGGTTTGAGGGAGAGACAGCACATTGGAGCCACAGGCAGAATGGTAGCTTCCTACTACCTAATGGTTTCTCATCACAGCAGGGATGGCAGTATCCTTAGCTGGCCCATTCTGAAGTGTGACTGTCAAAGTCACAATCTTGGAGGCCCAATCTGATGTGTATTTCTTCATCTTCCCTAGTACTTAATGTTTCAATAAGCTTTCTATTCAAACAAGCTAGGGTAAAACGAAAGAAAAACTAATATATACCATGCTACAAATCTGTAATTTTGTTAGACCATAAAGGCAACAAAAAAATCATCTAACAGTATTATTACTGTTATACTCATTTTCATTGTTAATTTTATCTGATACTGATGCCAGCCTCTATGTTCAAGTATACTGCACTAACCTACGGTTCACAGAGTTATCTTCTAGTCCTGTGTTAAGTGCCTAGGAGTGCTGTAAGTTTCACAGCTCAGTGTTTACCTTGCTATCTGCTCTTTTCTCTCTTTACCTATTAGAGACCCAGAGGAAATGCCAGTTAACTCCATCAAGCCTCTCCCACTTTGGCACACTGAATCCTTTTTAATATTCCTATATACTTGTTTATGTACTGACAGAAATAATTAATTATATTTTACTTGGGGGTATATTTCAATCTCTTGATTTTAACTATGAATTAATTCCTTGAAGCAAGGACCACATTCAATTTTTGTTGCATGCCTAGTGCCTTTTTGCAGGCCTGGCATGTTACTCGTACTCAGTAAATACCACTAGAACATAGAATAAGGTATTACATTCGGCGCAGGGAAAAGTATTTTCACTTTCGGTGTTTCTCACCTCCTACTCCTTTATCAGATCTGCAGGTTTTATTTATCTTTTTTTTTATTATTATACTTTAAGTTCTAGGGTACATGTGCACAACATGCAGGTTTGTTACATACGTATACATGTGCCATGTTGGTGTGCTGCACCCATTAACTTGTCATTTACATTAGGTATATCTCCTAATGCTATCCCTCCCCTCTCCCCACAATAGGCCCCGGTGTGTGATGTTCCCCTTCCTGTGTCCAAGGGATCTCATTGTTCAATTCCCACCTATGAGTGAGAACATGCGGTGTTTGGTTTTCTGTTCTTGAGATAGTTTGCTGAGAATGATGGTTTCCAGCTGCATCCATATCCCTACAAAGGACAAGAACTCATCCTTTTTTATGGCTGCTTTATCTTTTTTGAATTTTCATTCAGCCTCACAGTGTAGACTTGATTCACTAGGTTTTATTCTTTGTAATTTCTATGTAGCTGTAGCTCTATTATAACTGTTATATTAATAACATTGCACTATTATGTTATTCTGACCATCTGAAGCTAAAAACCAATGCATTTTAAATTTTCAGCTGCGCATCCTACAAATTTAAATCATGGCATGTAACAAGTTAAGTATGAGTGAAGTTTTGCCAGAAGAACAAATTATCAGTGACACTAACAGTTTTAATTACCATGTCTGGGATTTAATTTATCAACCCATATTGGTAAGTAATACCTTTGTGTCAAACAATTCAGTAAAGATGCAGCAACATAAAAGGCAGGCTACTGACTCACATCAAAAATGTAATAGTCTATAAAGATTCTATTTTTGTAATTTAAAATAAAGGATGACTTCATAGAAAGCTATTTATGAAAATCTCAAATGGAAATTTCACCATTTCAAAGAAACCGTAAGTTTAATTAAAGACAATAAGTCCATAAACACAAAGACAAAACACAGTACATACTATAGTAGACAAGATGACCTGGTATTTACCCCACTGCATGGGGTAAATAAGTGAGGTGATAAATGTGTTAATTGTGGTAATCATTTCACAACGTATATGTATATCAAATCATCATACTGTATACCTTGAAAATATGTATTTTCTACTTGTCAATTATACCTCAGTAAAGCTGAGGGAAAAAAAATTTTAATAATAAAAAATATGCATAGGATACTCAGGGGTCCCCAATCCCTGGGCCACGAACTGGTTAGGAATTGGGCTGCACAGGAGGTGAGTGGAAAAGCCAGCGAAGCTTCATCTGTATTTATAGCCACTCCCCATTACTCCTATTGGCCCCTGAGCTCTGCCCCATCAGATCAGCAGCGGCATTAGATTCTCATAGGAGTGCAAACCCTATTGTGAACTGTGCATGCGAGGGATCTAGGTAGCATACTTCTTATGAGAATCTAATACCTGATGATCTGTCACTGTCTCCCATCACCCCCAGATGGGACTGTCTAGTTGCAGGAAAACAAGCTCAGAGGTCTCACTGATTCTCCATTATGGTGAGTCATATAATTATTTCATTATATATGACAATGTAATAATAATAGAAATGTGCACTTGCACAATAAACGTAATGCACCTGAATCATCCTGAAAGCTCCCTCCACTCCCAGTCCATGGAAAAACCGTCTTCCACAAAACTGGTCCTTGGTGCGAAAAATGTTGGGGATCATTGCTCTGTATCATTAAGAATCAAAGATCAAAAGCCCATAAAACAAATTCTCCTACTGTGCTTGGCAGAGGTCATTTCATTAAGGGTCCGCATCAAATTCAGGCTCAACAATTAGTAAGACAACTAGAAAAATACAGAAAGCTTAAAGCAGAACAACTAGTCTAAAAGCAGATATCAGATTGTTTAGTGCAAATGGTGAGAAGAGCTGACCATATTTTAACTCGGAACTCAGAGAGAGGTAAATAGGATAAATTAATATTGCCAAGGTTTACACCAAGAACACAGGACTTGCTGAGAGTGTGGGGATTTTTTTGTTTTGTTTTGTTTTTGAGATGGAGTCTTGCTCTGTCACCCAGGCTGCAGTGTAGTGGTACAATCTCGGCTCACTGAAACCTCCACCTCCCTGGTTCAAGAGATTCTCCTTTCTCAGCCTCTTGAGTAGCTCGGGCTACAGGCGCGCGCCACCACGCCCGGTGAATTTTTTATATTTTCAGTAGAGATGGGGTTTCACCATATTGGCCAGGTTGGTCTCGAACTCCTGACCTCGTGATCCACCCACCTCGGCCTCCCAAAGTCCTGGGATTACAGACGTGAGCCACCATACTCGGCCTGATATTGTGGGTCTTAATACAACTAGTCCTCCGAATAATTATCAATTTCTCCCTTTACAAGACTAGCCTTCATTTTACTTTGAGCAGATAAAAGTTACAAACTTGCTAAATGAATACTGTAAGGTTTACCAGATTTCTAAAACAGAATATTCCCATCTCAACATTTTATTTTACTCATAATTTTCTACTTACAAAATCTTGCCGTATGTCATTGAAGTCTTTGCCATATTTTTCCAGTGCCTCTTCAAATAAGCTAGCTTCAGAGGCTGACCATTCCTCCATTTCATCTCTGCATAAAACAGGTCCTCCGAGTGGTACTAAGACACTAATGGCACTGCTCAAATCATAGCTGTGTCTATACAATGTATCCATAGCGTGAAACTAAAGAAACAAAATGAACAGAAAATATCAACCAGAAATGCAAACATGCTACATTATGTAAGAATAGAAACACTAAAATATATGATGTACTTAATTAACGATATACTTATTTTTAACAAATTTTAAACAGATTACTATAATTATTTAAGATATCATTTATTGCTTTAGAAAATGCAGACTTGTACCCTTATTTGGGGGGAGGGGAGCACCAGGTCTCCCTCTATTCTCAGGCTAGAGTGCGGCAGCAGCCTCCACCTTCTGGGCTCAAGCAATCCTCCTGCCTCAGCCTCCTGAGTAACTAGGACCACAGGCATATGCCACTACGCCTGGTTAGTTTTTTATTTTATATAGAGACGGGGGTCTCGCTATGTTGCCCAGGCTAGTCTTGAACTCCTGGGCTCAAGTGATCCTCCCACTATAGCCTCCCAAAACGCTAGGATTAAGTCTCTTTTATTTTTATTTATTTACCTTTTTTTTTTTTGAGATAGGCTCTTGCTCTGTCACCCATGCTGGAGTGCAGTGGCATGGTCATGGCTCACTGTAACCTTGAAAGTCTAGCCGGTCCACACATGGTGGCTCACACCTGTAATCCCAGCACTTCAAGAAGCCAAGGTGGGAGGATCACTTGAGCCCCCAAGTTTTAAGACCAGTGTGGGCAACATAGTGAGACCCTGTCTCTACAAAAATAAACAATTAGCCAAGCCTGGTTGTGCATGCCTATAGTCCCAACTACTCGGGAGGCTGGGGTGGGAGGATTGCTTGAGCCCAGGAGGTTGAGGCTGCAGTGAGCTGTGACTTATGCCACTGCACTCCAGCCTGGACAACAGAGTGACAGCCTACTTCAAAAAATAAAAATTAATAAAAATATCAAAGTCACTTCAGCTCTTATGCAAGGTATACAGCACAGCCATCCTTGACCAGGGAAACATATACAGATTATGTATCAGAGAGTGAGAAAAAAATATTCTCAGGTTGGATTAAGGAATCATGTACTAAGATGGAAAGAAAACAATGGAACACAGTATGATGTTTAAGACAAAATTATAAACATGCTGCACAGAAAAAGCAAAACAAAACAAAGTTACATATTCATGTTAATATGGTAACTTGGTTGAGGTTGTAGAAGACAAAGAATAGATGGCCAGGCTTGCTTGGAACGGCAAGGCCACTGTGGGTTTCTTATATATTTCAAGGGAGAGTGATTTGAAGCACAATTTGAAAGGAGAAAAGATAGAAGACACAATCACTGTAACGTTGAACTCCTGGGCTCAAGGTTACTTTTGCAAAAGTAACTTAGGTCTAGCTTACTTAAAAAGCATTTTCTGGCCAGACACAGTGGCTCACGCCTATAATCCCAACACTTTGGGAGGCCAAGGTGGGCAGAACGCTGGCACCCAGGACTTCAAGACCAGCCTGGGCAGCACAGTGAAACCCCATCACAAAAAAAAAAGAAAAAAGAAAAAACAGGCATGGTGGCACATTGCCTGTAATCCCAGCTACTCAGGAGTCAGAGATGAGAAAATCACTTGAGCCCAGGAAGGTCGAGGCTGCAATGAGCTGAGATCATGCCACTGTACCCCAGCCTGGGCAACAGAATGATGCCCTATTTTTTAAAAAAGAAGGCATTTTCCTCCAATCAGAACAATAACTAGGTTCTAAAACTTCAAGTTTTGAAAAACCTTTTATTTTCCTACTGGAAAGAGAGTCATTCATAGCATGTACATACATGTACTTATATGTATAACAGGAAAACTGAAAACCAGCACAATCAGCTCTGCCTATGTTGCAGATTAGCACATAGGTGCTGCAAAGTGATCTAATTCTTGCCCAAATGAGAACTAGTTCTGTTTTTCTCCCCACCTCTCAACCCCACCCAGACCTTCTAACACATGAACTTCAAGTCTTGCACCTTTTACACAATGTATCTCTTGCTATTTATTAAAAATTTCACAAATGGGGATAGCTTCACTTCTATGCAACAATAGAACTCTTAAAAATTTAGCTTTTGGCATAAGTTGTGCATCTCCAAGCCCGCTACCAGTCAAGGTCTCAGTGCCAGCTATGCCACTGCAGCTGTCACTATGGCCCATGAGAACACTGCTAACTCCAAGATCAAGCAGTTCTGGAGGTGCTTAGGGCTCCGGGATGCTGAATGAAGGTGCTCGTAGCCTTAGAAAAGAACCAGAGAAACCTAATACTGCTTTGGTTTTTTAAAGCATCACTTAGGAGTTGCTACCCCAGAAAATCCAGAAATAGAACTGCTTTCCCTAGAATTGACAGAAATGAAAGATAAATATGAACCACCTCAGGTGAAGTGTGCAGGACAGAATTCTTCTCAGTTGAAAAGACACTAAAAACTGGTTTTGTATAACTTGAATAGTTTGTATACTATATAATCTTTTCTAGATAGATGCTACAGAATTCTTTTAATATGTTACATTCACCTATCACACTTTACTATTATAAACACACTTAGAATCATCTATAAATACTCAATATAAATTGTTTTGAATCTTAAAGCAGAAGAATCCAAAGTGAGAAAAAAAAAAAAAAAAACTAAACACATCCATCTAATTCATTACCCTAAAAGATATTCTGTTTATTAGTCTGATGAGGAATTATGGTGCTGTTTGTATTTTTGCCAATGAAGTTTAGCATAGAGGTAATCCTTGGTGTAGCTTAAAAAATGAGCACAGGTACAGCCATTCTTTAAAATGAAGAGGGCACTGTTGTTTATATTTTCTGTAGGCAGCTGGAGAGATCTGTGTGTCACAAGATGCTTCTGCATGGGTTCCCATTAATTTTCTGTTCCTGTTTATATAATGTGGAACAAATAACTCTGATTTGCCACCATTGTGCCTTAGGTAACTGTGTGTGCCAGTCAGAAATCTGACACCACGTTTTCCTTCTAGGCTATCACGCCCTATCCGATCATCTTTCCTTGCTTCGCTCTATGCTTTAGTGAAGCCTAGTTGCACATTGGCCTTTCTGTGCTGTTTTCAATTCGCTTAATGATAGCAGTTACACCAATTGTAACTTATATAACTTTAAACAGAATCACACTGTTCCCTGCCTTACTTAGTTGCTTAGTTGAGCACAGAACAAAGGCAACATAAAATCTGGGGTTCACACACAAGTTTGGATGAGAAGGGGAGTGAGCCATAATATCATAGAAAATTATACTTTCTAAGTATAATCGCAGTGATGTTTCTCTCAAAGTATTTTTCTAGCCTTGAATTCATTTTACCTTCATTATTCCTGTGAAGTAGGTAGGGCAAGTACAAGGGGAAGTTGGGTGCTGAATTTTTAGGTCAAAGACTGATATTAATACAAAGTATTTGCTAACTGTAGAACCTGGGGCAACACATCAGTTAACTGCTGAGACTCACTTTCCTTGTTTGTTAAATGAGAAAAATATCCATGCTGCCTACCTCAGAGGCCTATGAGGGTCAAATGAGAATGTATGTGAAAGATCTTTTCTTATTTGTATTTTTTAAAAAATACCTTTTAAGTGATCCCTCATTATCTGGTAGGAGACTGTAGGAGAGCTCAAATATCAACTAATATCTATTGAAGTGAAAACATTATTAGCAAAAGTATGCACTAATATGTATATATATGTACGTATACACACACACACAGTGATGTTATTAACCAAGATAATAATAAGTATATAGATTATGAATTTGTTCACAGAGTAACAGCAGTATTTAGAACATGTAAACATGTTTAGGTACAGTAAATAAATGCTTTAACAAGGGTTGACATCTCACTTAAAATCAATCATTGGTGCTGGATGCAGTGGCTCACACCTGTAATCTCAGCACTTTGGGAGGTCAATGCAGGCAGATCACCTGAGGTCAGGAGTTTGAGACCAGCCTGGCCAATATGGTGAAACTCCGTCTCTACAAAAATTAGCTGGGTGTGGTGGCAGTCACCTGTCATCCCAGCTACTAAGGCCGCCCCTGAGGCAGGGGAATCACTTGAACCCAGGAGGCAGAAGTAGCAGTGAGCTGAGATCATGCACTCCAGTCTGGGCGACAGAGTGAGACTCCGTCAAAAAGAAAAAAAAAAAAAAAATCATTGGATTCCACAAAATAAAACTAGGGATTTCATGATCAATTTCCTAGTTATAATCACAGCAAAGGCCACTGGCCACACGTAGTCTTTTGTTGCAAGTGTCACAACCATGGAACAATTGACTTCCAACTTTCAAGTGAACTTCCTCTCACTCTTCTGCAGCAGAGGTTGGGGGAAAAAAAAAAGAATTGAACTTGGTTCTTCAGCTTTTGCTCTGCAAATTTCAGAATCAGCTAAATTCTGTAGCTAACCTCACTAGACAGACTGTGCAGTTTAGCTGTAGTATGTACTTTTACACACTTCTACATCAACTCTGAAAATAATGTAGTAGACCCCATTATTCATGATTTTACTTTCCAAGGTTTCAGTTACCCATAGTCAAGTACAGTCTGAAAATAGATGAATATAGTACAATAAGATGTTTGTGTGTGTGAAAGAGAGACAGAGAGGGAGCACACTGTATTAGTCTGTTTTCACACTGCTGATCAAGACATACCTGAGACTGGGCAATTTACAAAATAAAGAGGTTTAATGGACTTACAGTTCCACACGGCTAGGGAGGCCTCACAATCGTGGTGGAAGGCAAGGAGGAGCAAGTCACATCTTATGTGGATGGCAGCAGGCAAAAAGCAAGAGGTTGTGCAGGGAAACTCCCATTTTTAAAACCATCAGGACCAAGTACGGTGGCTCACACCTGTAATCTCAGCACTTTGGCAGGCTAAGGTAGGTGGATTGCCTGAGCTCAGGAGTTTGAGACCACCCTGGACAACATGAAGCCCCGTCTCTACTAAAATACAAAAAATTAGCCAGGGATGGTGGCACGTGCCTGTAATCCCAGCTACTCAGGAGGCTGAGGCAGGAGAATCACTTGAACCTGGGAGGCGGAGGTTGCAATGGGTTGAGATTGTGCCACTGCACTC